TTCAAGTGAATGAGTTCAGAGATCTCTACTTCTGTGGTGAGAAGAATCCAAATGTTACAGTGTCTGTGGGAGATGCAGGCAGTTGTCCCCCCAATATTTCAGGAGAAATGTAAGTCTCTATCTCATGGTGGTTCTTGGGCCTGACTTGTGATGGCTTGCTTAAAGAGAAGTCTGTTTCAAATGTTTGTTATTCACAGAATAACCATTCACAGGCCAGTCTCAATAATATGTGCCAAAACAATGTATTTTAGGATTATATAGTAAAACTTCACAATTACCCAAGATGAAGTAGGGATGAAACTTTACTCCTAAAAATAGGCAGATGAACTAAATTAATTTTTTTTTTTTTTTTATAACCTAGCCCTGGCTTATCAGTTTTCTTAAACCCAGGGTCACTTAGTAATGGAAATGCAATGTGTGGACAGCTACAAAGTTGTTGGGAAGCAGTAGTCCTGTGATCAGAAGCATGCCTGCCGCTCAGAGCTTGTTTGTAAATATTAACCTCCCTGCAGGTACAGCAGAGAGCCAAGGTATATATCTCCCAGTGCTACTGCCCCATTTGAAATACTCTTGACTAGTGATACCTTAAGTTGTAGCAATGCAAGTATTTCATGACACATGCTAGAGGGCCGGCAAACTGAGGCTATTGCAGGGAACAGTGCTAGAGCACTGTTTCCACAGCTTTTGGACTCCAAGCCCCTGCTATGGACCTCCAATGACTGCCGTGTGAAACTAATGCTTTTGTACTTATTACAGTTCAATGTAGTTCTGAGGTTTACTCATAAATTGCTAGCTATCTATAAACAACAATTAGGATACTGCTGAAAAATGATGAGTACCAGAGATCCAGATTTGTCCCTTAAGCTTTTTTTAGTGACAGTTTATGAAGTTACTCTATTTCTGTCACCTGTTTTGCTCAGTTGAGGGTAGAAGAATCTTTATGGAACAGGAATAAAAGTAACTACCTGAAGACTTGCACCACATAGTAATACCAACTTCTGCCCCATGCTTCTCATAGAATCACAGAATGCTTTGGGTTGGAAGGGACCTTTAGAGGTCATCTAGCCCAATGCCCCTGCAGTGAGCAGGGACATCTTCAACTAGATCAGGTTGCTCAGAGCCCCATCCAACCTGACCTTGAATGTTTCTAGGGATGGGGTCTCCACTACCTCTCTGGGCAACCTGTGCCAGTGCTTCACCACCCTCACTGTAAAAAATTTCTTCCTATATCCAGTCTAAATCTACCCTCCTTTAGTTTAAAACCATTACTCCTTTTCTGCAGGTGTTCTGGTGAAGCATACCTGTGCAGCCAAGGAATCGCACCTACCAACTGGGCAATGTGGGAAAACATAGTGGCTCTCTTCTGCATGACTGTGATCTTCCTTATCATTGCCTATGCAAAACTCCGGTTTATGAGAAAGTTCACGTAGATGCCTGTGTTGCCTTGCTCTGCAGCTTCTCCGGTCTTAAAACTGCAAAGCTTGTTAGGGCCTACTGGAGATTGCCAAAAGATTCCAACTGACTTCAGCGGACATCAGATGGGAATCCTGTCCCCTTGTTTCTGGAGCATGATCGCCATGATTGTATGATTCTGGTTTTTAAGAAGAAATGCATTCATGTATATTGCATAAGTGGGGTTTTTTTATTGGTAAGAGAATATAATTCTTGTAATTCCTTAGGTACATATCACACTCTATATTGTAAAGCATTATTCTTCTGTGGCCAACTTTGAACATTTCCTGTATAAGGGAAACATTATCCTTTAAACATGTGAGCTTCTCCATCACAAATGGTATAAGGTGATGATGTCATTTATGCATTGATATGTTGCCCCTTGTTAGTGCCCGTCACATCTGAGGAGAGCCAGAGACTACTCACAGTGTGTTGGAGATGCATTTGAGTTTGAAGTCAGTACAGGGAATGAGCGCTCCTTGCCAAGCAAGAACAGTTATACTTCTAATAGCTTCTCCATGGAAGCTACTTGGAGAAACTTCTGCTTGATTAAAAATGAAACAGTAGTGGTGTATGACATCTCATCTAAGAAGAGTGAGAAATATATACTGTTGTACTGTTTAAAAAAACAAAACTCCAAACCAAAAAAACTTCAAACCAACCCCCCCTCCCCAGCAAAAAATACATTTACTTCTTAAGAGGAGGGGAGGAAATTACCCCCCCCCCCTTTTTTTTTTTTTAAAAACATTTTTTATTACTATTGAGGAGGGGAGGAAATTACCCCCCCCCCTTTTTTTTTTTAAATAAAAATTTGTATACCTAGTGATGGCAGATCTTTTTAACAGACTTAATGCTTAACTGCACCATTTATATATAGTGCTACTTACACTGTGGATGGAAAAAACCCATGCAGACACTGCTGTAGCAACTATAGCAACGCTTACCACAGTCACCACAGGATGGACTGTAGTGTGCCAGCAGTTGTCTCCATCACCACATCTGCAGCAGAGCTGCTTTTAAGCTGCATTAAGACCCCTGACATGCAAGTGGACCAGCTAAGCCAGAGGAAAATGTCCTCAAAACACCAGGCTAGAGAGTTTGCTCGTGAGGGCTGGGCTAGCAGCAGCCCTTGAAACTGGCCTGCACTGTGGAAGCACTTCTGTGCCCTTGCAGTAAATGTTTCGGTCGTGGGGTTAGAAAGAGGGAAATAATCAAACTGAAGGCACAGCCACGTCAAGCACAAACCACGCTCTTTCTGTACTGCTTCACTGCCTTTTACAGCTAGTAAAAAGTAAACTCGTGCCCCACTTCACATCTCGGTATCTGTCTGTCCCCTCCTGCCCGCGGCGAAGGCTGTTCGCTCTCGCCCGCTCCCGCAGCAGAAGCGGGCACCCATCAGGCGCCAGCTGCGCGCGGCAGCGGAGGCCTCCCTCCCCTCACGACGCGGCCAG